ATTGTAATCCCCGCGGGTTTCCCATCACCAAATCACCCCTGTGCCACCACCATAGTCCCGTGCATTTCCCTCCCTCCACCCCCCCCCGTTTGCAAATTTATTTTAAAACTCTAACAGGTTAATATAATTTAATAAGTCTAACATAAAACCAAAATTTGGAGAAAATATGAAACACATTTTCTTAGACAGTTGCTCTATAATTCAAGCAATACACCAGGAATGCTACTGTTTAAAAATACTAGGATAGCTTTTCTAGTATTTTAGTTTAGAAGGCAATTTCATGTACTATTATCAGATCAATGATGTAAAGATTTATTACCAGAAGAACTTAATTCTAAACTCATTGGTTTGTAAAAGCATATACTTTAACAGTCAAGAAAAGTTTGATACAGTGAAATTAGGATAATCTATTTTTGCTATCAAAATAAATATTGAAGTTATGTTATGTGTGAATATAATGGTACAATTAAAGCTACTTTGCTTCTGTTTTTTTCACCCCAGAGTTTCTTTCAGAGACATATAGTTAGTCCTGTTTCCCCACTGGATTATTCTGAATAATGCATTAGACAGCAGAGGTTTCTTTACTGTTGTCAATCTGTCATCAAATATGCTCCTGGTAATCAATCACTTGAGTTGGAACTCATCTTGGCAAAACAGCCAGCAACACTAGTCAGGGCAGTTGTGAAACAGTCAACACACCTGCAGAGGTATTTGTTGACAAGCTTCCCAGAAGGCTGGTGGAACTTGTTGAACTAACTACCACTGAAGTAGAATTTCTTTGGCTATTCAGTTACTTACTAGTGGGGTTGTTTATGGACAAAAGCAGCACCGGGAACTTGTTAGAAATGCAAATTTTTGAGCTCTGCCCCAGATCTGAATACTGTGAACCCGAAGCTATGGGAACGTGGCCTAGAAATCTGCCTTCAGTCCTCCAGGTGGTTCTAACGTCAAGTTCCACAATCACTGCATTAGTAATAAAAAAGTCTCAACTTGGAAGAGTTGCACTATGGATTTCAACTCAGAATTCATTATATGGCCAAACTTACCAGACCCTAAAGTTGATGGAGGCCATTCTTAGAATGGCAATGACATGATTGTTGTGGTTTGTGATCTCCCGAAGTTGTCAACATTGTAACAGAAGGGACTTTGCAGGGGTGATTAAAAGTGAAGTTTCTTGAGAAGGGGAGATCACTGTGGATTATCTGGTGGTTGCAAAGCAATTTCCAGAGGGCCACAGTGAGAGACATGATGGAAGCAGAGGTGTGAGGGGGAGATTTGAAGTCACTACACATGGGCCTTCAGGGTGGAGAACATTCACATGGAACTTGGGAGCGAGGCCTCACCTCCGCTTCCTGACCGTGTCAGGTAAGAATACATATTCCCTCCTAGAATCCCCAAAGTCTTGGCAGCATCTTGATTTCAGAACTTAGTTTCAGGTGGTTTTTGTCAGCTGCTAAGTATGTAGGTAACTTGTTACAGCAGCAATAGAAAATGAATATAACAATACATTCTTCCTGTAAGTCAAAGATGAAAGTCATTCACCAGTTTCAGCAGCTTGCATTCCTCACATCCAGGTCTGCTAGGAGTTTCTGTTTCAAAACTAAAATGTTGATGCAAGACAGAACTCTCGACGCATTGAGGTTTTCTTTGAAGCAAAACTGTTCCTGCCCCAATTTAAAGATGTCTTCTTCTGGACCTTTCCACTGTTGGATTTGTTCCTTGAGGATTTGCCGTTATTTGCTCCACCTGCTCCTTTTACACAGCCTGGGAAGTGGTAGGTGGCGCCTCTGTCACCCAGTGTGTGAATCAACTGAGAGGATCATGTTCTGGCACCACCTGGCACAGGGGTGAATAGGTGCTTTGACTTCTAGATGTAAACTATTCAATTATGATTTCTAAACACCCAAAGGATGACACTAAGACTAACTTGGGCATGTTCAAACTAAAAGAACTCTGGATCGCCTAGTCTAATTGGTTTTAAACCAAGATCCAGGGTAACACACTCTTGGCCACCACACAGCCAATTAATCTCTTTGCAACTGTATTCTTGCTCTTCTCTGATAGGCTTCACTAGGAGAACAAGTGGCTTCATAAGGCAAAAAAGATGCCTTTTGCTTCTCAGGAAGATGCTAACTTGTACCTTATGGGAATTAGAATGTGAGCAAATGAGGACATTTACATTAAGTTGGCAATTTGCTGCTGGCCTCTGTGGCCGTCACCTGCAGCTTCGATTGTGCTAACGCAGGAGGCGCTTTGGAGCGCAGGACTGGGCACACAGGCCTGATGGTGGACACCTGGAGTGCGGCGTGGGCAGGCGTGACAGCGCACACCTGCGCCTGAGGCCGAGGCTATAAAGGCAGCACAGGCACAGCTGGGACCACAGAGGCAGGGCCGCCGGGTGTCACCAGAAAAAGCCCAGAGAGTAAAGATTCACCGGGAGCTGGGAGGCCTGCCAGCCTCCTGGCACCCTGGCCTCCCTGCCTGGCTAGCCTGCAGGCTGCTCCCCAATTGGCATAGAAAGATCATTAACGCCTGAAAAAGCTACTGAGAGCTCCAGGACTCTCCTTGACCCACCTGCCCCAATCGATAGAGAACAAGGCCCTGCTGGCACAACAGCCCCGTTCTTCACTAAGTGGAGGAATGGGGACAGGAAAACGTCCTGTTTCCCCCAACCCTGTCTAGTTAAACCTCCCCTCCTGCTCAAAACTTTGCTCTATGAGCAAACGCCTTCATGCAGGGACAGTGACCTGGGTTCCTACCTCTTACGAGATGAAGCCTAAGGAGGTCTAGCGAGTGGAAAATGGGTAAGTAGACCCTTACGATTCATACTGTCAATAGGGGCCTAGATCCCAGAGTAGGAACGATGGAGATTGGGGCGATCACTCTCGGCTTAACAGTTACACTCCATCTGGCCTGCTGAAGGCTGAAGCAGGGGTGGGGGTGGGGTGGGGATGATAATCCAAGCAGATAGAGGTGCAAAGCTACAAGAGAGGGCCTCTGGCTAGGGGAGGAGGGAACAGGCAATCAGATGTGATGGACTCTCAGGGTGTTAGGGAGAGGCGGGCAAGAGATGAGCAGGGAAAGTAAACACACGACTTTCTGAAAACTGCAGTCTTGGACTTCATCTCGTTAGCAAGAGGAAACTCTCAAGCTTTCTCCTTTAAGAAGGGAGGGACATGCTCTCTCTTAAAGGCAGCCTGTAAGTAATTCTCATACAACCTATTTGATTCTGATAGCCTGGAAAAAAAGGTTCAGAAATTACCCCCATTCACCAAGGAAGGAAGCCCTCAGGTCCAACAACCTCAACAAAGTTTGGAAGGAGATTTCTCCCCCCAGGGAAGCCCTGAGCAAAACCTGGGCTGCGTGTGTCCTGGGGCACCCTGGCAGACACCCAACCAGCTCCCCTTAGGCTCCTGACGCAGAGACACTACGGACAAATAACACTTGTGTGTTGTTTTAAGCAGCTTGTTATGGTAATTTATTATACAGCACAGAAAATGAGAACATAAATCTTAATATCTAAAAGAAAAAAGGAGGAAAAATAAAAAGGAATTACTGGCCATCTGGGATATTTATTAATGAAGGTCAAACATCCAAAGGGGAGTCCTCAATGCCCATTTCTGTGATTTTAAGAGATGGTTGTTCCATGTCATGAGTGCTGTTGCCGCCGACAGTGTACAGCCGATCAGGCTGCCCGAGACCTGTGCTCAGACAACACAACTCGCTGGATGTCTCCACCTTTTCTGTGTCACTGTCCCCTTCAATGACATTCACGTAGGTTTCCTGTTCAGCTAAGGTGTCTGAGCCACCTGGATTATTTTCATCCCAAACGGCAGGTCCATGATTTGTTTCATCATTCACCTGTTGAATTACAACCTCATCTGAAAACTTTGATTTATAGATGGGCATGTAGAATTCATTTGGTGAAAACATCTCGTCCTCCTCCTTTGGTATAGACAGTAACATATCCAAAGCCCTTTGGTATTCCTGGCGTTCTAGTTCAATTGCATTTTGTTCATTCTTACATTTATTTGGCTCAGAATTCCCAGCATTTTCAAAATCTAGTACATCGAACATGTCGACATCATCTCGTCTCCCCGCGCTCTCCTGGGATATGCAGCCTAAGTTCAATTTCAGGGTATGCAGCAGGCGGCGCATCTTCCCCTAGAGCAGGACCAAGAATAATTTCACTAATTAAGCGAATCCCACTGAAATGCTGCTCTCCCCCTCCCCCGGGAGTGCCCCTAATCTCAGCAGGATTAATCACACCCTCGTGTATACATACGCACATACACACGCACACACACACGAAATGCAAGGGGAAAGCAGGCTTTTAAACGCACTTTAAGAGTGTGAAATAACTTGAACAATTTTTCTACATTAGAATCTTTCTGAGGAAAGACAAACCTCTTTCAAATGATGTTTATTTCTTTTTATATGTCGCTCAAACAGTTGTTCTAAAAACCTACAAACGATAAATAAAAATGTTAATATCTCAAAATTACAAAACCACCTAAATACAAAATAGCCATGCACTAAATAAACTACTAAAGATTGGAAAATCATTTTAGATTACACTTTTCTTTCCAGTTCAAAAAACTAGTTCTTCCCTGTCCTGGCAAATTCTCTGATTTGGAAGCTAGCATGGTTTCTACTATGTAAGTTACATGATAGATACTAATGTTTCTGAAAGATTGTGTTAAATTTCGGTGAATAAAATATTTCATGCGAGGTTCCAAAATTCCCTCCCCTATCTGTCCCTCCTTCCCTCTCTCCCGCACTGACACACACACACACTGCAAGGTCTATTTCCCCCCTTTTCACTCTTCAAACCAAGTCCTAAATCCTTTTTATAGTTATTTTTAAAATGCTTCCACTGATGGTAAATCCACACAGTAACCACTTAGTGCTAAGCATCTGTGCAAGACACACATCACTGTATCTCTAATCATGAGCATTAGGAGAGAAAGGTATTGTAAAAAGCATTTTAAAGATGAGAAAACTGTATCTCTAAGATGATGATTTTCCCTCCCTCAACGGTCATAAACCATTTAACACACATGTATCTGATTCCTGTTAATTTAGTCATTCAATTACAGCATGCTTAAGTTGCTGTCACATGAATGTATCAGTAAGTATCTTGATAAACAACAGGCTCCCTTTGCTACCATTCAGTATTAATGAAATTATGAAACTCAGATTTAATAGTTCTGAATTATTTAACAATTTTTAAAAAGCCTGAAATCCATATTCCAATTTTATGGCTACTGTCGATGTCTTAGAATATTCATTCCAGGTATTTTTCAATGAGAATATATATTTTAAAGATTTATTTATGCATACAGATCTGGGGTACAGGCTAGGGGATCATCGAACTTTTGTTGAAACCAATGTGGCTAGCTTCATAATGCTGTTCTTTAACCCTTTCGCCACCAGGGAGAGCCCAAGCATTTATTTCTTTGTGAAACCAGATCTTAAAATATACTGCCTGGGAACCTAGTATTTTTTCTACTTTTTTGGGTAGCTATTATTTAATCAATTGTATATTGAATATCTTTATCAATAAATTCGCTCATACAATATGATTTAAATCTGAACAGAACTTAGTTATAAATATTTTACAGCTTATTAAGCCAAACCGTCACTATTCAACATGTTGAGTCCATCTTTTTTGTGCTATAGTAAAGAGTCTTATAATCTAAGAGATAGTGTAAGTTTTTTTAAAAGCATAAGTACATGATTTCTGCAGTTTTTCTTCTGATTTTTGCTTAATTTCTTGATTTGCAGTTGGGATCTTACTACTTTTGTTGTAGTGGTAAAAAAATAAAAATAAAAAATATAAAATGTAACAGTTTTAAAGTGTACAGTTCAGTAGTGTTAAGTATATTTTACACTGTTGTGAAAAAGAACAATATAGTGTTTTATTACTCAAACATTTTAAAACACCTTTTAAAGTGAAAGAGTAAATAAACGGCTGTCTCAAACTTAGGCCTTTTTGGTATATCTTTTTATACCAATACTGAAAATACTTAATTCATAAAAACACTTTATAAAAAACCAGAGCGTTCACTAGAAATGCCTGGTCTTGCTGCTAGCAGACAGTGAGAGTGAGCAGTGCACGCAGACACGTGCTGGCCACACCCACACACGGAGGGTTCAATGGCCAAAGAATTGTGGGTAAATTTCAAGCTGATTCAGGACCACGCATTTCCCTCAAGAGGCAGTATTTAACACAGCTTTACAAACTGTCTATTTCATGTTCAGTGTGTAAAGCCAGCTTTTAATTTGTCTTTACTTTCTGAGTAGCAGCGGTAATAAAAACGCTTGCTTTTGATCCTCACACTAGTTTCAAATAGTAAAATGGGATTACAGATCTTTGCAAAAGTGTATTTTATTTTATTAGTCTATTCTAACTAGAGATCTAAAAGGATTTTAATTAATAAAGTTTCTACTCTTTGCCATAACTCCCCTCTAAAGATGAGCTGGCCTTACAGCATAAATTAAAGATTCTTAACAATTTGCTGTCAATGATAAGAATACCGTTCTCCAAGAGAAAAATAAAATCTTTTAATTCCTACTATGTGGGAAATGTTAAAAAATTAAACAGTATGGGAAATGCTAAATATTGCATTTGTTCAAATAATAAGAGTATTCAACATGCTCTTTAACCACAATAATACAATTTACAATTAAAAAAAAAAACTAACCTGTTTGAAAATAATCCAAGCTTCAAAATTTCATCTGTTATATCCTCAATGAAACTCAGATACAATAATTCTTCATCACTATAAAGGCAAAGCAATATACAGTATAGCAATTATTGCTTAGTCTGAAAAAGGGTAAGAAATATGAGCACCTAGTGAGAAAGACCCATCTCTGTCATTACAAATGCCCTTCCAGCTCACACTGCTACGAGGAATACCATAAAACAAGCATATCCACCTCCCTGAGAGAGTAAAATTTCATAGCTGTCTTCCGTATAAAGCAGAAGGGATTAAGCCAAACAGGAGTCCGACCAAGGGCCAGAGAGAAGCACATGTGGCCGGTGGGCGAGCGCTCCTGGCGAGCATGTTCAGTGTTCCCTGCTCCAGGCCACGTTCAACGGCGGACGTGTGAGCCCCTGTGCTGGGCCCTTGCAAGACGGGGAAGTGGAAAGTCCTCCCCAGAGGCAGGAACTAAGAAATTCTCTCCTGTTCCTATGACTGCACCTTGTTTAAAGGTTAGGAAATTTACTGAGCATAAAAAATTCATTTTTTTTCTCAAAATGTTTAGAAAACATAGATTGTGGTAACATATCTACTTGGACATGCTTCTTTATTATACTATGATATGAGTAGTAGCTATTATAAGGAAACTGGGCAACTATTTGATTTTGATTAGCTGAAATTAACAAACTAATAAAAACAAGAAACTACTCAATTACTGAAAAAGTAAATGTAAGAAAATTAGATAATATAAGATTAAAATGTATAAAGTTTTACTTTCAAACTGATTCACAGCTCTAATATTTAAGCAGTGAGTTTGAGAATAAATGAAACTCTCTAATAATTTTTCCTGAAATATACTGCTTAAAAACTAAAACAATGTTAAAAACTAGCAGCATAATATCTGCAAAAGAACTGGTAGAAATCAGTTTTGGTATCTGAAGCTACCAAAATTCTGCATTTTTCTAAAACTATTTTTTCATTATTATTTTCCTTATGAAAATAAACCCAAATTATAGGCACTACTTATAAAAAAAAAGTAGGCATAATTAATTTAGGGGCATATTTCCACTGGACATAAAGATGATGTGATCGTTGATAATTTCAGGAAGTTCTTGTCATTTTCTCAAACTGAGCATGACCTAATTGACTGTCAAAATAAGAGAGATTAGTGTTCAGGCCTGACTTATTCAATAATGATTTTGTGATTCTTAGTTCTTGGCTTCCATTAGACAAAGTAAAGCAGTCAAAAAGCCCTTACTCAGAGCATACTTGTCTCCCTGTAGGAGGCTCCAAGGGGTATTGACATATTGTCCTAAAGAGAAAAAAATGAAAATATTTGAACAAAACAAGGGTTGGGCTACAAATCATTTACTATTATGTTAGCAAATTATATGTCTTGGGATTTAAAAACATTTCCATACTTATCATCTACTCTACTCTCCAGAAGAACCCTGTCAGGTATACTGGGGAGGGATTATTCTGCCTACTAATTAATGAGATCAGGAGGGGCATGCAGAAGTAGCAGCCAGGGTCAACGACAGACTTGCTTTCTAGTCTTCTAGGAACAAACTCACAATCCTATAAAAACTATACTGTGTGGCTTTTCTAGCATGAACAATGATTATCCAGATAAGATTAATACATAAATAATGCTGAAAACATTTTTCATAGGAAAATGGTCATTTAAGCTGGTGATTATGATAAATTTTGTCACTGTTCAGTTATACTACTGTTATTCTAAACTTTTTACTCAGGTATACTCAACTATAAAATTCTTATTTTTAACTAACATTTTATATTCTTTTAGGTAGAAACTACTAGAAAAGACATATATCCCTTTCTTGAGGTCATTGTATTAACTGTAGACAGGCTCAAGAGGAGTCTGTAAATCTCGAGTAGTGAGTACTGAAATACCATGGATTTCAGAACAGAGCTTAGCAAAGCAGCCCACATCTCTGCAGCTGAACTCGCCCTGGGAAGGGCTCTTTGGATGGTGTCGCTGGACTGGTGGCTGCTGTATACAGGCTGAATTCTTGGCCTCTTTTAAAACTCCAGTTCTTTCTTCCATCCATTCATCTCTCTGACAATGGAAATGCTTATGCCAGCTGAAACTACCAAATGGATCTTGCAGACGCATCTGTCTGCTCACCTGACATTTCACTGAGGCACAGGATTCCGTGGCCACGAAACATGCTGAGTGGTTTTCTGAAAAGTGTGTCTCCACCCGGCATGAGCAAGCACCAGCCAGTGGTGACTAGTCAGTGTCACAAACCATGAATCCTCAAATGATAAGGTCTTCAGCACTATTTGTGGTGTGTGAACTATAAGAGATTTGTCTTGGGGAAAATTCTTTTAAATGAATATTGGTGGCAAATAATACAAGCCAGGGTTTCTTTTCACTTTGTTAATGATTTAACAAAATGAATTTATTTAAACTTCTACTGAGCACTTACTTTGTAAAATTTCCTTAGTAAAACTAATGTTGCAAAAATAGAGTAGTTGTAATTAAAATAGTACTGGTGTTGAGCTATCATTTGTCCCTTACACAGGGAGGCAGTTAAAGAGGGCTGAAATGACTTCTCCTATACGTCACCTACCTTGATGAGGAGCACTGAAGATCAGGTACGGTGTCTTTGCCCTCACCCCACGGTAAGTCATGCCCCTGTAAAGGTGAAGGGGTCATTCTTGCTTTGTCATAGTTCGTACAACCAGACACCTGAGCATGCAATATGGAGAAAAATTATTTTGATTCAAAAGTACATTATGAAAGCAGACACAAAACAGCATGTTAAAAAAAAACCCTCCCTGGTGGTGAAAGGGGTTAAAGCACAGCACTAAGACGCTAGCCCTAGACACTGCAGCACAAGTTCGAGCCCCAGCCAGGGAGCTGACCCACATGGCACAGCAGACCTCTCCTATGCCACCTGCTGCTCTTTCTAAGCAGTGTGTTTCAGCCAGTCTGCCTGTTCTGCTCCCCGCTCTGTCTCTGATGAATCCTTCTAGCCCCCTGCACCTCTGATCTGCACCCCAGTTTCTGTATGTACAAATAAATAAATCTATTAAAAAAATAGCCGAGAGGGAGTAGAGATAACGTGGAGATACAAGTGATGGCTATATTATCACAAAGGATGGTTTAGGATACATTTTCTATCTAGGATTTTTTTCTTAAATTTACTTCAAGTAAGATAAAATGTCATATATTTTAATGAGGGGTATTTTAGTTGACATTAAGAAGTCACAAAAAATTTAAGAGAAAATAAAATGAGTTTGAAAGCTTTAAGTAAGCTTGAAAAAAATTGTCATGATTCTGAAACTCAAACAGGGCATATCTATATACCTGAATCTGTATGTGATAATAGAGAAATAATTTTTTACAAATAGTAAATTTGAATTAGGAAGCAAGTTTACAATTAATACTCTCCAAAATAATAGTTTATCTCAAAAATCAAACTAAAAGCTATAATATTTTAAAAGAAATGACTGTTAAGCACTCAATATATAAACTCTCTGAAAAAGCTTTATGGTTCAGGAAAAAGTAAAAGCAAACATGAAAATATCATCTTTTCTCATAAAATGTATAATTTCCAGTGACCAGACACAACTCTAAAAAAATATGAGTATAAAAATTAGGATAGCTTTTGCATAATTTTTCTGGCTCCTTTAGTGATCCAAGTCTGTATCTCTGAAAACAATATTGAAGAAATTTTTTTCATCTACCCATCCAGCCAGTGAACCATCTAGGAAAGATGCTAATTACAATGTTCCCCCAGTTTGGACAGGATACTCATTCCCAGAGGACTGCAACCATTTGTAAGCAGGCGAACATGTGACATACTGCTCTGTCATGCAAGAAGCACAACCAGAAGACTAGCAGTTCCGAGATAACATTTTGTGAATTTAAAACAACTGTAATTCTAATGTGGACTACAAAGAGATCTTACTTTTTATTACCTGATTTATGTTCACTCCCGAATCTGTGAAGTTCTTAATCTCAACTGTATCAAAATCAGATTTAAAGCTGTAATGTTTTAAAAGAAATTACTGTTAAGCCTTTGAAATAAAAACATGGTGATAACAAGCTTTAGCATCCAGAACAAAAGCTAAACATGTAAGACGAAGCCCATCTATTCTTATATAATGTGTAATTGTTAACCATAAAATCATGAAATAGATAGTTTAGATTACATACGCTTTTTTCCTTTTGCTTTTCATTAGCAACTAGGTTTTAGCTGGGCATGGCACCGGGGCAGGGAGCTACTGCCTTACAGCTGTCAGAAGCAAAGCAGACAAGGACTCATGGCACACTTGCTTCCCTCATGTCTCCCTCACCTGACAAGAGCACAGGTTCCTTAATCTTTGATTCAAGCATGGAGACGCATTTGAGATTATTTTACCTCTTATCTGTACCTACAGAGAAAGGTAGTGATCTTAGATTATTCTATGCTTTCTTAAATGATTTAAACTTGGTGCCAGATCAATATGTTCATATAACACAGGAAAATCAACCTCAAGTTAACGAATACCTAACACTGCACAAGATACGTTTGCTTCTTCAGTCACCAAACACACTTTCCTGAGAATTAATTACCTAACAGGCACTGTTGTCCTTGAAAACATTTCCGAGGCAAATTACTCTTAATTTTCAGAAATTATCCCGTCACCTATGTTGTTCCTGGGCAGCTGCTGCTGTGCAGGATGGGGGGAGGCTGTAGGGAAGGAAGCACTGGAGCAGCCAGAGATGCTGTTCACTCTCGGGCACAGCCCACGGTTTTGGCATTTTTATCATAAATCACTAGACATATTTACACAAATGTTGTCCAATGACATATCTTGATGATTCACTAAAAATACGCTTATTTAAAAACATATGCAAGTTATAATACCATCTTTGAAATAATAAATGAAAATACATGATGTTTATATGGAACTTCACAAGTTTAGTAGCTATTTATTTTTGCAACAATTATTCTGATAGTTCCAGTAGTACATGCAAAAGGAAGAGTTGCAATTTCACTCCAGGCCCACCCTATGCACGGGATAACCACTAACTTTCTGGGGATTCGCCCTTGCTTGCTGATGAGCCATACCTGCTTAGCTCTGTCTGGGTCTCGGCTTCTACTCGCTGGTCTGTAAAGTCCTTTTTTCTTTTGGCCGGTGTATAGTATCGGTACTGTGACAGGAAAGACTTGGCTTCTGTTTTTAAAGTGCGTGGGGTAAATGGCAAGTGTCCGTTAGAAAAGAGTTCGGAATGTTTATCCAAAAGGTCCCCGCTGGGTGTTTTCGAAATAACTAACTGAAACCGGTGGGCATTTGGGAGTGTGCTCCGGGTTGCTCTGCCGCACGTGGGTCCAGAGCATGGTTTCCTGGGCCCAGAGACGGTGCAATCCATGCTGGACAGGAAGGAGCTGGAGTTCTTTTCAGTATCGTTTGTGAACCCTTTATCAGGTGTTGGTAGACTTATATGTAATCTCTCTGAAGACGTAACTGGTGACCTTGTAAAGGACAAGCCATTCACTTCTTCAATGAACACATCTTCCTCTTGTGGCTCCCCTGAAGGCTAAGAACATTTGGTTAGATCATCACCTGTTATACTTATGCGGTCATATAAATGGGGGTCACCAGACTATATATTAAAAAGTAGTTACTGGGTCTTCCCTGGTGGCGCAGCGGGTTAAAGCACAGCACTAAGAAGCTAAAGCCACTTCAGCATGAGTTTGATCCCCACCCTGGAGGTGACCTCTCCTGACCCGCCCGCTGCTCCCCTCAGCAGTGTACTTCGTCAGTTGGCCTGTTCTGCTCCCTACTCTGTCTCTGGTGAATCCTCTCACTGCCCCTGCACCTCTGGCCTGTACCCCAGTTCTGTACACATCAATAAATAAATCTTAAAAAAAAAATAGGTAACAACATTAAAAAAAAAAAGTGGTTGCCTTAGGTATCTGCAAAATTAACTTATATGTCCCTGATGATGTCAGCATCAGATATGAAGTTCTATTTAAGTCTTTGATTCACTAATATATAAAAGGATACAGTAGTAATCATTTTCCATTTTGAAACAAAAATGATTAATAACATGTTTACGTTTGAGATCTTGAACTTGTGTATTGAGATCTATTGGTAGATGGCAGTTTCATCTGAAAGTTTCTGAACCCACTGAATACCCATCCCCTTCTCTCCTGGTGCCACGTGCTCCCCTTCCTGCCTTGTCATGGTGACGATTTTCAGTGCCAGCAGTCACTGACTCCACGACCTTCAAGGCATGAAAAGGAACTTCTCACAATGCATGGCATCCTGAGAAGCTAATGTTTGAAATGTAATTAAGAAATTTATTCCATAAAAAGTTCATGTTTTTCAGCTTCTCATGGATAGGGAAAACTTTGCTCCATTTCCTTTTGATTTAGCTTCAGGAGAACTATTTTTTATCATGTAATCAGAAAGCCTAGAACACAGATACTACTTTATTCTTTTACACAACATATGCCCATGAAGCCTTGTCTATGATCCCAGTTATGAGCCCAGACTTTAGGGACACCTGTATGTTGTTAGAAAACAAAAGCACTTTATTAAGTAGAAGAGAAGTTATAGAAAATGGCTATAGTTTAGCCACTTATATCTGCCCATGGGGAGAAAAATAGGAGGAAGACAGTTCTTGTTGTTGAATAGGTTAAAAGAGCAATAATAAGAACTTCTATCACTGCTGTATGCAAGATGCATTAATTGTGCCTTGTAAACAATTTACAGGTACAACTCTTTTAATCGTGGTGGTGCAATTATCTCCTCTAGTTTAAAAATAAAGAAATTCAGGTGAAGGGTCTCATAGGTTTCAACTCCGCTGAGCCTACAATCACCATTTATTATATTATGTATTTTTAAAGGATTTATTTATTTATGCATACAAGAACTGAGGTTTAAGTCAAAAGTGTGGGTGGTGGGAGGATTCACCCGAGACAGAGTGGAGAGCAGAACAGCAGTAATACACTGCTGAGGGAAACAGCTGGAGAGACAGGAGAGGTCTGCTGTACCATGTGGGTCAGCTCCCTGGCTGCCTGGGAATCAAACTGGTATTGCAGTGGCTGTCAATAAATTGATAGGAAGGTCTTTAACACCTGTGTCACCAGGAGACGCAATGTTAATCTTTTAAAGACTCATTTGAAGCTTATAGAATTTTAGGTTTTTACAACACCAGTGTTCTTGAACTGATTTTATCTTTCTTCCTGGGATCAAGAAGTCAGCTAACCTACAACATGCTGATTTATCTAGGTAAGGAAATACAGATAACTAGATATTGTCACTACTATCTAAAATAGATTAAATTACCTATTTCCTTTCCAATGCTGTCTAATCCTATGCCAAATACATGACACAACTACTTATATTGTGGCATTAAGTTCTGAGTCAATAGAGTGCTGTCTGGTAAAAGTCTTCATTACAGTAATTTTTCAAAGTGTTCACTAGTCTCAAACTCCAGTTTATACAGTAGAGGAGTTTGACTCCCTGGAAATAAATTTCTGTGTATGATCTGGAAAATCCTACAGGACTATCAAATTATAACGACAGGAAGTATTTACTCTTAGAGGAAATGTACAAGCATAGATGTGTGTATAAAGCATTATATTACCTGTACAGAAGTTCTTACCAATAGTGATTATTTAACAAACAAAATGAAACACCAAAGTAAGCCTTTAGGGAGAATACTTTCCTGTGTCTGAAGTGGGCTAACATGCTTCCTTTTGTACTGACTGAAATCTTGAATTATTCTATGTTTTTCTATATGTCTCAATCTCTGCCTTTTATCCTATTTTACCATCTTTCCTGAAAAATGAATAAAACAGCATGAAGTCAACTGCACTAGTCTTTTTGTGATTATATCTTTTTATTTGCTTCTTTTAGTTATAAATATCAGAAAGCTAGGATGGATATAATTTTCACAGAAAATGTATAGGACATGGGTAAATTCACCAAGTTCAGAATAGCAGAACACTAACATCAGAAAAAGATTCATTAATTATATATTAAATAGTAGCAAGATTCTGGAGGCAATTTCATTTTTCTTAAAGTTCAATTAGATTTGCTGTAAACTATTTCTGTGACTTCATACAAAGCGGTGATTACAGATAATTTAGGTACTCATCCTGTTTTCATGCCAAGAACATCTACCAGATTTTAAAATCATAGAACTAAACCTTTTTTGGGGAGAGATAATGTCAGAAGAAATGGTATACAAAAATTTTCTAGCTGTAAGAGATTAAAACAGTTGAGGAATCAATTGCAGAATAGGATGAGTATAAGTTATTAACATTTGTTTTGCAAAAAGGTTTCAAATTATGTTTTATAAACGAGACAGACTGTCTGTGGTTTACACTGACTTCAAAAGGTGAAAATGGATCATTACCCATAAGGTCAATTAATCTTAACAGTAACAGTGCTTCACCACTGATGACAGTGCGTGGTGAGTGTAACTCTGATGTTGTGGGTACAGAGTTCACAGATGGCACAGGAGCCACAGCTGAGAGAGTGTCACATGAGCGCGCAGGCCACTGAAAGAAAACATCCTGACAGATGATCTCATGTCTCCAGTTAAACTGTTTAAAGGCTAAAGCATTTTCTTTTTAATTGAAGCAAACCTTTCAGTAAATACAGATTGTAAATCTAGCAGATGTCTGTTAACCATATAACTAACCAATTATCAAAAAACTATGCTCAAAGTAAAAATTTTAACTTAGCTGCATCTAAATATTTATATCAAAGCTTATCAAAAGTGTAGGCAATTTACAAGTTACTGTGAATTCTAAACAGAGCAAATATATATATGCAAACATGAAAAAACTACTTTTGGAGAAAAGAAACATAGGATACTATCTGTCTAAAGGAAAAATGAATAGAAAACATGTTTATAGTCTTATTTACATATTTTATTTTCAACAAACCCAATTTTTGGTCAAAATACAATATTAATATATATTCAAAGTGCTGACAACAGAAAATATTTTAATTCTCAGTTAAAATAGCATAATCATTAAAAATGATATTGATGAACAGATTCCTAGGCGGCAAAGCACAGTATAGAGTACAGCAAATAAATATAGTCTACAAAAGGAAGCACTTCTGTTCCTTGTATCTATTCAACAGTCTTAAACATCCTCAGTCTCCAGGATGAAGCCTAAATCTATTTTTAGCCAACACCACAGGCCTGACCTAGATGCTTACATCCCACTCTACTGAACATATTCCATGTTTCAAAGGTAACTCAAATCAAACACATTCAAACAAATAAACTCATACCTTCCACTATCCACCCCTCCGAAGTAAAACTACACCTTGTCCTGCTATCATTATTTCAGTGAATGACCTTCTCCTAGTTTCCCAAGCCAGAAACCCGGGAACTTCTCCTGCCTCTTGCTCATCACAACATTGAATCAGTGAGCAAATCCTGAGGATTCTACTTTCTAAACACCTCCTAGATGTACTCTTGTAGTGAAAATCTTAGAACAATATCAGATCTTTGCCATTCCATTCCCAGACTATTATCACTACCTTGTAATTAATTTGTCCTCTGCTGATGCCAGTGTAGTCTTGGCAAAGTGGTAATATGATATCACTTCCCAGCTGAACATTGATCCATGCCTTCCCCACAATTCTCAAGGGAAAAAAACGCCCAGCTTCATTTATAGCACCAATGCCTTAGTCCTGCCTGCTATCTATGGACTGTCATACATTTTTTTTTAAAGATTTATTTATGTAGACAAGAACTGAGGTCTAGGCCAGAGGTGCACGGGGTGAGAGGATTCACTAGCAACAGAGTGGGAAGCAGAACATGTGGATCTATTGAAATCCACTGCTGAGGGGAGCAGCGGGTGAGACAGGAGAGGTCTGTTGTGCCATGTGGGTCAGCAACCTGGCTGGGGATGGAACTCCTGCTGCAGTTGCTAGTGAAAGCTTGATAGTACTGAGACTTAACCCTTGTACCACCAGGGAGGTTCCCTCATTTTCACACTCTTATATGCACTGAAAAAAGCTTGAGTTGAAATCAGGCACATGGTACTTGGTAAGCAGAGCAGTGAAGCTGGTTTTCACCAAAGAGCAGGTGGTGGTTTGGTTTTGTTTTTTTAACCACATCACAAATGCTATAGGACAAAACAAAACAGAAAAACCCAGGGCTGACCTGTACAATCTAGAAGATCATGCACTTGAATCTAGGATCCTGTCAAGGGCTATACTCTAACTAAGTGACTTGCAAGGAAACCTGGCTCTAGCTCTCTTGAAAGTCATAGTGAGTAGAGAGAACAATAGGCTTAGAGAATCTGAAATCATGTACAGTCCCCAACACAAGCTTATAGCCTAAATTCACACTATCCAGATGGTGTGAATGAATGTCTGCAATAGCTACAATATCCTTAAACCAGGGCACATGACGTGCTCTTTTGCTATTGCATAAATTGTAGGGAAGGACAAGAGACAGATTCAAAGAAACATCAATTTAAATCACTTAGATTCCAGCTCTAATGACAGAACCCATGAGAAAATGGGGCAATCAAACATTGGATATTTGATGATATTAAAAATAACTAAGACAAAATAGTGGTACTATGGTCTTTTAGCTACATACAGAAATATTTATAAAAAAAGTCTATGATTCTGGGATTTGCATCAAAATGACCTGGGAGTAAGGATATCAATAAGACTAGCCACAGATTGTTCACCTAGAGATGTTAACAAAAACATGTATGTAGATGCCAAAGTTTTCAAAAGCAAAATGTGAAAAAAAATCCTGCCACACCAAATAAAACGCACAGACCTCCAGTTTTAGCGGAGATATGGAGAGAGAAACGTACAGCCCTCACCACGGCAACAAGGAAAGAAACCGGACAAACTGATTGAGCAAATCTGGCTGGTATCTTTGTCAGCAAGGTCTTCATGGAGCACAGTTGTGCCCCATCATTTAGGAATGGCCTGAGGCTGCTTTCCCAAGGGCAACAGTCATGACAGAGACTGCGTGGCTTTGAAAGACTTAAATATTTACTATCTGGCTCTTCACAAGAAAAGTTTCCTGACTCTGACCTATAGTAAATGTTACCAAGAAAAGGTACACCATTAAGTACCTCAGAAAAATTTGTTTTTAACACATCTAAATACCATCTTACCTTTTGGAAAGTGTTAAATAATGACCTGGGATTATTTTTAGAGTTGGTTTGCACTGCAACTTTAGTTAATTTCAACTCCCTTTCACATCGTGCTAGTTCCTTTTTCAGTTTTTCTCTTCGTTGTTGGTCTGCATCTGATGGGGAAAACACACTTGTAAAATATGGAAAATATTACAAAATTAATTTTGGTCTTTTCTTGCTAAAAATGTTTATTGATATATAAATAAAATCCCAAGACTTTTCTATAGTAAGAGAAGATAATAAATATTTCATTCATTGACACGTTAAATGATGTGACAAACTGCTCAAGAAAGCAACTCTGAGCAGATATTCACAGGTCCGGGAGCCAAAGCAGCTTGACAATGTTGTCTGTGACTGTGATCATCAAGAGCGCAATTTGGATTAGTCCAGACTTTCGGTCCCAATGAGACACTGTTGTTAATACCATCAGATGTTATAAAAATTAAATTTTTTATGACTTAAAAAATGACATTACAATTTAAATACTTTTATTGTTTTTCATTCAGGACAAGTGGTTCTATTTATCGTAACTGCTGTTCATTTGAAAGTGTAATGTGTGGTTTCACTCATTATATGCCTTAAATTGGCTACTGAGTTGCTATCAAAGACTTATCTGGAGACTGCAAATGATGAAATAAAAGCTAGTCACATTTCAGAGTTAACAGAAGTTTGAACACAAATACAGTAACTATTTTCATAGAAAATAAAATATAACATATTTTTTATTGGGATCTATCCCAATTTAATGAACAAGATAATTTCAAGGGGAGGATGTAGAGAAATACCTGGTTGGTGGGATATATGGTTAATTATGCAACTGCTAGAAAAAAGCAGTATTGCAGCTTTTCAGTAAATTAAAAATATAATTACCATGTGGTCCAGTAATTCCACTTCTGGGTATACAGTCACAAGTAGTTCACAATGGGGATATGTTCTGAGAAATATGTCTTCAGATGATTCTGTCCCTCAAACATCACAGAATGTAACTAGACAAGCCTAGAAGAATCAGCTGACCACATACCTTGTCTCTGTGGTATAACCTTTTGGGGTCAGTATGGTAATATGAGGCCCCTCAGTGACTAAAATGTGCATAAGCAATATGTGAGTGCATATCCAAAAGAACTGAATACAAAGTTTCAAGGAAATACTTAGTTGTACATCCATCTCCACAGAAAGACCAGAAAGATTATTCACAATAGCCAAAAGGTAGATGAGAAAACAGTATTAGTTTCTCAATAAAGTCAAGTGCCCACTGGCTTATGAATACATAAACAAGATATATATGTATCTAAAATTAAATATTATTCAGTCTCAAAAAGGAAAGAGACTTTGATACATCATAACATGGATGAATCTTGCAGACATTTTGCTAAATGACAAGCCCATACAAAAGGAAAAACACCGTATGACTCCACTTATGCAGGGTACCTGAGAATCAAATTCTCAGACATAGAGTTTTAGTTTAGTAAGATGAAAGGAGTTCTGGAATAGATGGTGATGACTGTAACTTAATGATCTAATTTTACGTAAAAAAGTTAAGATGGTAGCTTTTTTTATATGTAGCTTAGCAAATTAAAAAAAATGCATGTAAAGTTACTTACATTTGATGCTGGCACTCATGCTTAACGGGATGGAGCAATCTACTGCAGCTAAAAAAGAAAATTCAGATGTTTAATAATATTCTTAATATTTATAAATGACCACAAATATCAAATTTGGGATTCACAAAAGTTCCAGAGCTTGCAGTTCCTTGTTTTGATTTTTATTGGACTTCTTGTGATGAAAAATATAAAATCCTGATTCAAAAATACACTGATTGGGATTAATAGCTTACTAGATACTGTTGAAGGAAATACCAGTGTACTGAGGACACAGTATATAAACTATTCAAAATGAAAGAGTAAAGAAAGACTGGAAAATAAACAGCATTATGAGCTAGCTTTGTAATATACACTTAATAAACTTGTAATTAGTGCTGAAACAAGCTTGGGGGGAAAAAAAAAACCTAAGTTGACTTTAATACTACATTGCTATAGTATCTGATTTCAATACTATAATGTAGAGTCATTAAAGCAGTATGGTACTGGTATACAGGCGCATTGAGGAGCGAAGTGTAGAAAAAGACCCATGCATATGAATAACTGAGTTTTCAAAAATGTCAAGGGAAGTCAACAGGTGTAGCACAATTTCCTTAACAAATGTTAGCAGCATATTTGAATGTCCATAAGTAAAAAGTTGACCTTTATTTCATGCCATATGCAAAAATTAACTCGTAGTGGATCATAAACTTACATATAGGAGCTAAAACTTGAATTTCTATAAGAAAACACATAAGAAAATCCTAGTAATCTCAGATTAAACAATATTTCTTTAAAAGAATATGAAAAGAGTAAATCATTCAAAATTGAAAAGCTTAACTTGATCTTATATGTCATAAAATATGATTTTTTTCAGACTTTTCAATCATTTAGAACAAATTGCATATAATATGAACTATCAATAAATTTTAAGACCCAGTTCATCACATGAGAAAATAAAAATTTCTAAAAAGGCATTTAGTGAAATCCTGGTGAATACAAATATCAACTGCTATATCAGTATTAATTTCCTGGTTTTAATAAATCATTGTACTATAGCTGTGTAATATTTTACCACTAGTAAAGCCTTATGAAAGTGGCTCTACTATTTTTGCAACTTTTATGTACATCTAAAATTATTTCAAAATGGAAAAATTTGAAAAGAAAATTCAGACCAGGAGAAAATATTTAAAAAATACATATCTGACATATTTGTAAAAATATTTACAAGATACAAATATTTAATATATAAAGAACGCTTACAATTTGGTACTAAGAAAATAAACCATTCATTTTAAAAAGTGGGCATAGCATTTGAGCTAATATGTACAAAAGATATACAGATGGCAAATAAGTACAAGAGGAAGTTTTGCAACATTTTTAGGCAGTAAAGGGGTACCATAGAAATGCAAGCTCGGACAATTATCACTACATATTCACTAGAATGGCTAAAACAAGGGCTGCCAACAGGACGTGTTGGTGAGGGTATGGCAGTGATGGAAATGAAAAATGGAACAGTCATCCAAGAAAGGAGTTAGGTAGCTTTTTATGCTGAAACATGCACTGATCATATTACCCTATAATTCCATTCCTAGTAAATAAATTATGCAAGTGAAGTGGAAACATATCTTCAAAGACTGGATGCCAATGACCATAGCCAAAAGTGAGTCAAGCAATCCAAATATCCACTAGATGGTGAATCAATAAATAAATTTATAGTAAAATCATTAAAAACTCACTTAGGGAGAAATACAACTAGACACCACAACCTGGATTATTCTCAAAGCTGTCAGCTAACTGAAAGCAGCCAGATCCAGAATGACACATTGTATGATCCTAATTATATGAAATTCTAGAAGAGGCAAAATTATAGTGACAACAGATCGCTGGATGCCAGAAATTGAGGGAGAGAGATTGATTGCAAAGGATTAGGGGGATAGAAATGTTTTGCATAGGGATCAATCAAATTTTTTCTGTAAAGAGCTGGGTAGCAAATGCTTCAGGCTGCTTTGTTTCCGTCTCAATTTCAGCTCTGCCTGTAAGCACAAAAGTGACCACAGTCAGTAGATAAAGTATGAATGTGGTTGTATTAATTTATGGACAATGAAATCTGACTTCCACATAACTTTTCACATGTAACATTGTTCTTTTGATTTTTTTCATAACTATCTAAAAATAGAAATACCATTATTATTTCATGAGTAGTTGAAAAACAAAAAGCAGGAGGGTTTGGTGTGTAAACTGTAGTTTACCTTATCCCTATTTTATAGCATGATTGTGGTGGTGCTTATTCAAATGTATGTGTTTTTCAAAATATTAATATTAGCACATTTTATTGTATGTAAGTTGTATCTCAGTAAAGCTAGTGAAACTAGAAAGCCAGGATCTAGCATCTTTGTGCAACTTCACTAGCAAATTTGAAAAACAGAAAAGGATTATGAGCTTTATTATATTAAGATCAATATCTAACCAAAAACATTAAGGATAACACATAACAGTACAGTTCATACAGCTAACAAAAATGACATTCTAAATTTGCTATGTATAAATAGCCGAGCTCACTTACTACACCAAACACAAATCAAATCCACTTATACATAGCATATTCATTTTACTAAAGATTTACTCTAATTAGAAGCTGAAGGGTTAAATTGGGGACAGACAGTTCATATTTGCACATTTTACCTTTGGCTGAAAGGATTTTATTATAGTGAATAGCCATGTGATTCTTGACCAGGTGGAGAGTACTTAGTCTGAGAGAGGAGGAGTCAGTGCAAAAAGCTAAAAATTAAAACATAATCATTATATATGTGGGTAATTAACATAATATCATCATGAAATAAGTTAATGTTTATGAAGTTTATTTTTATAAAATGTTCTGAAATTCAACCATGGAAAACTGACATTATAACTTTGTAATGCTGATATGTTGTAACCAGAATCTTGAGCTTTAACTGATGAGCTAAGACTACTTGGGTTCAGAACTTTCTAAGAATAAATTTTACAAGTCTAATAACTTTAGGAAGAGATCCTACAATGTAATCTATCATTATATTTATAGAACTATTTTTCATCCACAGTTCTCAGTCTTAAAACTGAAAATGTCATTTGCTTGACTATAAAAAACAATGTTAACATTATTAATATTTGAATACATAGAGTTTGGTAAAGCAAACAAATCAGAAACTCCAAAATTCTATGTAAAGATTCTATTCTAAAAAACAAACTTTTGGGCTCTCTCTGGTGGGTCAGCGGGTTAAAGCACAGCACTGCAAGCTGGTCGCAGCGGCTTCAGTGCGAGTTCAGTCCACACCCCGGGGAGGTGACACACATGGCGCAGCAGACCTGTCTTGCCTGCTGCTCCCCTCAGCAGTGTACTTTGTAGATCTGCCTGTTCTGCTCCCCACTCTGTCTCTAGTGAACCCTCTCACAGCTCCTGCACCTCTGGCTTGAACCCCAGTTCCGTATATGCAAATAAATAAATAAAATCTTTAAAAAACAACAACAAACTTCTGACTCTACATCTGAAAACAAGATCTACAAGTCAGTTTACTGTATTCTTTTTGGAGTATTAGGACTCTCTTAAGACAATCATGTAGAAATTCCATGACATTCAACTTGACCTCATCTAAACTGTTTAAAAAAAGAATTATCAGAAATATTTAATCACTTATATACAAGTATAAAATGTAAAACATTAAGAACTATTTTTGAGAATACATGCATGTGATTAAAACAACCATACAGAGAATGGAAAAAAGTGATTTTCCTTCTCTGTCTCCTACTGTTCCCTTCCAGAGGTATAAACTAACTATTCTGTGATAAATGTCAGTGTTCACAATAATAACAAACTTACTACTACTTACCTACCTACCACCACACCACCACCTCTACTATAAAAACATGACTGAATGGGTACTGTATATGCCTTGTTCTAAGCTCTTTACCTATATAAAACTGCATCTTGTCCTAGCTACTGAAGTGGAAACTAAGGCACAGGGGTATGTGTGAGTCAGGACTTCAAGGGGCCACCAATGATAAAGGATGCAGTTTGGAGGTGAGCCAAGGCAGCCTCTCATATTTAATCACTACACTCACACCAGCTCTGTACATGAAATTAAAAAAAAAAAGTGAGTAAACTATATATTGTTTTTCAGGCTGCTCGTCTGTGTATGCATGTTTTAAATTTAGAACTTTTTAGTTAAAAATTATTTTTCAAAGGTTATGATTCTAACTATGTGCACATGTACTTGACTACACAGAAATAAGTGAGGTAACTGAAAATGTCATTCACATTTTGAAGAACCAGTATCTAAGATCTTTTGTATAAATAAGGGCAAAAATTCAATTATTTTGCCTAAAACCCCATGCTTGAAAACGTAAGCTATAAGCTGTATATATAAAAACATTTAAAAATCACATCGAAATCTTTCAAATGTGAAAATGTCAGAGAAAATACAGAGTGCATCTCCTTGCATGGGCTCTGGAAGCCCAGTTGGAGAGGCTTGTCTTCGATCTGGATACAAAATACCTTTTCTAAGAGCTCAATTTCTCTGGACAGCGTTTCCTTTTCAATACTGGTGTCTTTAACAATTTGCTAATGGTCATTTCACAAGAAAGGTACGCTTAAGGCCAAGGTAACCTGCAGTCAAGGGTAGAGCTGGGCTGGAGCAGAGAGCATGAGGCAGCCAGGCACAACAGCGGTTGCAATGATGGACTGAATTCTCTAACCACAAGAATCCCAATAGTATTTCATTATAATTAATATGACTCAAAGATTGATAAAACAGGGCAATTTTTCATTGTCTCATGTAGTTTGCAAATACAGGAGACATGAAGCCAATCTTCTAACAATCCTTGGCCATTTGTGGTATACCTCACTTACCGTTACTTTTGGTGCTCAAGTGTCCTTTAAATAGGCATGGTGGACCATATCTGGGAAGGACAGAGGTTGCTCTAACTTTAAACAGAAAAAAACATGAATTAGGATAAATGAAGCATCACCTTCACAAAGACGGAAAACTCACTATCTTCCCTAAAGATTAGTTTCATCTTTTACACCAGATGGGCTATTAAAAATTAGATACATACCTCATCACAAATAATTTCTCTCCCTAAAAATTAGTTTTGAGGGATAACCTCCAGATAAAAGGTTGAGTTATGGAGTTTCGTGTAATTTAACATGCAGTATAAGAAAAGCTTATTCCCAAACAGAGATATCTTAAGAGGGTAACATGGCTGGTCTGCTCTCAAGTGGGTGTTGTAAGCTATAAAGGGTTGGGGGACAATGTCTGCAAGAAATGTGGATGACTGCAAATAGAAAAACTACCAAGAGAGTAGAACTCAAATCTAGGACCAGAGGACAAAGTCTGCTAGAACAGAGTATAACAGGAAAACAGTTTGAGATCAGAATAGCTAAGAAGCTCCTTCAACATCACAGGGCAAAGAGCAGGAAGGAAGACTAGCTTACTTAGGACAGGAGAAGTCACGGTGGCATCACTTGAGCTGCCACACCTGGGGTAGCCTGTGCCCGATGAGGCTGTGTGCAGGAAGAGAGCCCGACCTCTCAGCTGTGATCACCAGGCGTTTAGCGTCTACAGTGTGAATTAAAGGAGTGAGAAACGCTGTTGGCCTGTGTCTCCTGGTGAGATACCACATCCTCTGAGTGGGAGCTGACGAGAGATGAGTCCACCTTGATGGCACCTGCCAAGAGCTTGAGCTGGGGCAGGTAAGGGGGAAGAGCAGAGTTTTAGTAGATTTCCTCAAGTAGTGGCTCGTTTGTTGCATGTCCTAATGACCATTTCTGAAGACTTTAAATGGTTTTTTTGTGTGTGTTTTAAAAAGATTTATTTATTTACACATACGAGAGCTGGGGTGTAGGCCATAGGTGCGGGAAGGTAAGAGGACTCACCAGAGACAGAGTGGGGAGCAGAACAGGTGGAGTCACTGAAGTACACTGCAGCAGGCTGGACAGGAGAGGTCTGCCACGCCATGTGGGTCAGCTCCCTGGCTGGGACCAGTGGCTTCGGATTGTTTCATAGTGCTGAGTCTTAACTTCTTGTGCCACCTGGGAGGCCCGGTTTTGTACGTTTAAAAAATGTTCACATTAGCCTTCCCCTGAGGAGGGGGGTCTACTGACCACCTCATGTTTCTATTTCAAAGTGAAGATGTTTACTTTTAAGCAGGAAAGTTGTATTATCATAAGGAAGTTCAAGGATACACAGCAGGATGTAGGGGAAGAGATGGTCAGGCTTTTCCACACTGGCCTCATGTCTATCACCTATTGCCTTGAATGCAGGGGCACTTGGGAACATGAGCTCGGGGCATGCCTGTCTGATAGTGGACATTTGGAATATGGTGTGAGCATGCACAAGTGGGCACACCTGAGCCAGGAGGCCGAGGCTCAGCGGTGGCAGAACAGCTGCAAGAGGAAGACCCAAGAGAATGCCAGAGAGAGCCCAAAGGGAAAGGGTAGAGATCCTGCAGGCCTGCCAGCCTCCCAGGCCCCTGACCTGCCTTTACCTGCCCTGCTCCTGGCTGTCCCACTGCACAGGGGCATGTGGAGGTTGAGTAACAGAAGCGGCCGACTGTGCGATCTATCAAACTATTGATAGATCCACATTCACCCTTCAATAAGTGGCCTGCAGTAATAAAAATTTCCTTGAACAGCTCTTTACTAGCAGAGAGCACTGGGAGAACACAGTGGGAGGAAGGAGCACTCCTATTGCTTCTGACACCTTAGAACATGATGGATCAGCATTGTGGGTTTAAGGATATAGTCTACACTCTATACCCCAGCCACAAAGCCCAGGATACAGTCAGTCCCCCGGGGAGGGACCGGGGGACGCAAAGAAGCAGTACAGGCAGACGGCCTGGAGTACCTAGCATCACCAAGAGGGTGGCAGTAGGTGATCACAAGGCCAGGCAGGCTCCTCCCCGTCTCCAGGGCTCCCATCCCCACTGAACACCCGGGGTTACTGGCCACTGGCTGTGGCTGGTCTGCACTCCAGAGCTGATTTTTGTTTGCCAAGTGAACTTCAGATCACTGTGGATTGGGCACCATTGAACTTCTCAGCCATCTACTGGTTACAACTACACCTTCTCAATGAGGTCGGAAGCCCTCAGCCAAATCTGTCTTTCCTTGTCTCTTGGGCACCATAGAGATTTCTTAATGTTTTATGATAGTTTAATGGTTCTTTAAACTTCCCTTGTTTGAATCACTAAGTGGTTTCTATTGCCTGATTGGACCTAGGCAGATATAAAGCATGGAAAAGTAGCCTCAAGTCCATTGCCAGGGGAAAAAACCACAGAAATCCAGCTGTCCCACAGATTAGGAATGAAATCTTGGCCATGAGATTGGATGTCTTTCTAGGGTCATAAAATTAATCATTTGTGTGAGCAGCTCAGCAACCTGTACAAATAGATCTAGTAGGAACTCCAGAGAGGAAAAGTAAAGCTGTTCCTTATGGCCAGGAAACACCAGAAGTCTGGGAATCTGATACGACTGATAAGTATCTCCACTGGAGCAACAGATTAAAAATTTTTTTTTCAGGTTACTTTCAGTTTTCCTTACTGTATGTTTTCTCATGTCTCCAAAAGGCCACCCACTGACAGTAGTGGATGGCAGTTATTCTCAATCTTTTTCACTCTCTCCCCCTTGAGAATCTGGAAAGACCTGATAGATTTTTCTAGTCCAAGTCCACTATTTTACAAATAACTACAGCCCAGGGAGATAAAGTGATTTATTAAAGTTTTCCCAGTGAAAAGTAAATAAGGGTTACAAATGAGATTTACTATTTTTCATGCTGATACTCTACCTCACTATCATACAGGTTTGCCTTACAAAAAGGATGCCTAAAAATGTGATTACAGTTAAAAAGGACAAGAGATTATATATTTTTTTACTTCAGGTGTTAGTATTTTGTGTTCTGAAATCATTAAAGGTAATTTAATAAACTAGGACATTTAAAAAAATGCAATTATTTTTCATTATAATCAAGTCTTAGTTTTGGCTAAAGTTGTTTATAGTGTCCTATTAATAATAATTATAGTACATGAGAACTGACTAATCCAAATATTTCCTGAATATTTCATTCATTTAAAAAATTCAAGATCAGAAACAATGAAACTAATACTCTAAAAATGAAGCTAATTAAACTGGGTCATAAAAATAAAACCATTTTTACATTTTGACATGAACATACTTTTAAAAGTAATTGAATAAACAAATGAGAACTTTTGAAGATGATGATACTCTAAATTTTACATATACCTGACTTCAGGCCTCTGTCTCTCCCACGGGATAAGTAAAAACAGGTGGCTCTAGGGTTTTACATTTCTCACCTGGATTCAAAGACTGTTCTGCCACTTAACTGTTGTCACCTTGACCAGAAATTTATGATTTCTTATTCACTGTGAAATGAGCATAATAGCTAACATTATGTTTGGTGGATTAAATATAGAAATAACATGGGACTAGTGTCTGGTACACAGCAACAGCTTATCAGTTTATGTAGTAAAATCTCTGAAAACCATAAACACATGTTGGTTTTTCTGGAACTTTGGTTGATAAGTGTCAGAATATACAATTTGCTGATTAATGTATAGTTATCTCCTACATTCAGAACTGCATTAATTTTGATCAATGATTATATAATAAAAGGCACACTCATATTCAAAGCAAGACTTATTGCAAATATACTGTCTAGAACTTGGTTCAAAGATCCTTTTAAAAATAGATTAACTGTGGCCCTCCCTGGTGGCACAGCGGGTTAAAGCACACCACTAAGAACCTAAAGCCTCTTGCGCATGAGTTCGATTCCCGCCTTCCCAGGAGGTGACCACATGATGCGGCTGACCTCTCCTGACCCGCCCGCTGCTCCCCTCAGCAGTGTACTTCGTCGATCTGCCTGTTCTGCTCTCCACTCTGTCTCCTAGTGAACCTCTCGCAGCCCCTGAGCCTCTGGCCTGTACCCCAGTTCTGTATGCACAAATAAATAAATCTTAAAAAAAAATAGATAACTGAATTGGCATGGATAGTCTGAAGACTGACTTACTTAAGTTGAGCCAAAAAAAAAAAAATACTACTTGCTCAGACATCGTAAAGATGCAGGTTATTTAGATTGGACGACTGGTAGAGCTCAATGGCTACGAATGGTGCCAGTGGTCCCAAATGTGCCAGTGTGATGTCCACTTGACCCAGCATCTCGGTCAAGGGCAGGTGTGCAGTGATTACAGATTAGTCCTTGGCTAGTAAAATGGTAGCCAGCAACACTGCACCATTTGGAAACTTACTAGAAATACAAAATCTCAGCTCCCAACCAGACCTACTAAACCAAAACCTGCACTTTAACATGGTTCCTTGTTCACAGTACAGAATCCCTGATCATTGATTAATCGTTCTAAGTACGAAACGGAAGATTTCCTATTTACTGAGTGCTTCCAACGAGGCAGGAGCTTTATATTATCGCCTACGTTTACTCCTCAAGAACTCCATGAATGTTTTAACCCCACTTTTAAGAGATGAGACAACGAGGGTCACCTCTTAGAGGTATGGAGACAACAAACGCTCGGCACCGGGAGTTCCGGGGACCCGGCCTCCTGAAATTAGGGCAACAGAGTCAGCGCCAGAGGTGGACCCAAGTCCCTGGCTCGCAGGGCCTCCTCCAGAGTGCGGGCACTGGACAGTTCCGGACTAGACTTGGGTTCACCTAGCGACTAAGCAGGTGACCGAGGGAGCCGGAGGTGCCCAGGGCATGGCCATGGCGCGCGTAGCCTGGACCCGGACTGCAGGCCTCGAGCGCCAGTCGGCGCGAGGGGGCGGGCGCCCGCGAGAGCTGGCCTTTACCTCTCCGGCTGCCATCCATACTTCGATCCTCCCTCAGCCGCGCGGGGACACGCTGGGTACCCCTCGGGTCCTTCCCGGGCCTGACCAGCCCCCTGCAGCAGAGGATTGGCAAGGGGCAGCCGGCTGGGGGCGGTGGCAGCGGCGCACTGTCGCTAGGCTGGTTGCTAAGGGCCGGAGCCGCCGCCGCGGGATTGTGACGTCATCGCGCAGGACTCGCGCTCCCGCAGCCCCGCCCACGAGGTACCCGCAGAGCCCCGCGAGCTGTTGATGGAGATGCTGTGCGGACTGGCCAGCGTCCCGAGGCGCCGGTCTGTTGCTCTGGGGCCCTGCCAGTCGTCCGCAGAGCGGGATCCTGTCGGGCGCCAAGTCAACAGTACCTGGCAAGCTCTGTCCCTGCGGGAAGACCGCAGGGTCTCCTCCTGTAGCTAAGGTCCCGGGGCTGGGGCTGGGGGGGGCGGGGAAGTCAAAAGCAAATGAGTGTTGGTTGGGGTCCAGGTAACATTGAACAGGTTCCAAATAATTACATTTTAGAGCAATTCTTAAACATTTGGATTAGTGAAAATCCCGGGGATGTTGAGCATCTTGGTGTTCATATATATATATAACACATTTACATCTTAATTCTCAACTTAGTCACCTGATCTTATTGTATCTTTTGGCATTTATCTTGTGACCCAGTATGTGGTCAATCCTAGAGAATGATCCATGTGGATCTGAGAAAAATGTGTTCTCATATTTTTTGGGGTGCAGCAGGTCCTTGTTCAGAGCTTTAGAGTCTCCAAAAATAAAACATTCCCTTTCTGCTCCCTGAGAATTCTGTCTACTTCTCTCCAAACACTATCTTAGGTCTCCAATCTGTTTTCCTTTATGATGGATATGAGTTGTAACAATAACAAGGAGTTGATTTATCTGTGTCTTTCTACAATTTAATTTTGAAGCAATTTCCTTTGAACCCTTGGAGGTAAGATCAGAATAAAGCAGGGAGTGTGTTGTAATGTGGTGTTTCTCATCATTACACTTCTGACGTTTCGGCTGGAGGCTTGATTCCTGTGCATGGCGGAATGTTTAGCAGCATCTCAGCTTCTACCTACTAGATGCCAGTAGCAATTCACCCACCTTATTCCTGGTCATGACAATAAAAAACATCTCAAGGCATTTCCAAATTGCACCTTCTCCCCTTAGGAATCTTTGCTGTAATGCAAAGGAGTTTGGAGCTAGGTCTATGGAAATTAATTGTGAAATTCTGGCCACTTGCCAGCTTGATCTTGAAATGCTAAAAAAAAAAAATTTTTTTTTAATGTAGAAGAGGTTACTGACTTTGTAGCTGCAAGGATTTATACATATACAACCTGGTAAATAAAATTCAATTTAGGATCAAATTCCCTCCCAAATATTAAGACAAGTTTTTCCCCCCAAGATGTGAAGAACAGGGTTTTTTCAATATGTGTCATCTTGGTTGGTAGAGTTAAAGTGATTAAGATCTTGTGCCTCTCAAGAGAAACTGTAACCATTATCTTAAAGAATAAAGATTATCCAGATTTAGGGTTATCTCCAGGAAAAGACTTTATGGGAGAAAACAATCATAAGGAAAGACAAGGTTTTTTTTTTTATATGAAGTCATTCTCTCCTCTTCACGTGAGACCCTTGAAGCCCCATTCTTAGCTCAGGATATAAACCTTTACTCTGTCCCATTTACTCTGGAGTTTAAAGCCTAAATTGTCCATTTGTGTGTAATTAAATTTGATCCTTTTTCATACTGTCAGTCATTTGTTTGCTTGACCAGTCAAAGAACACAGAGAAATGGGGAAAATACTCCCCTGAGCTCCTACACCCTGTGTAAAAAATAACAGTTTTCTCTCTTCTAAGACTCCTGATACTGGAGGATCAGGGAATTCAAGCATAAGGCATAAATCAGGAACTCTATTAAAAGGAAAGGGGAAAAAGCCAGAGATCTGGTTATGTAACACCTGATTCCCTAAGACTCTAGGGTAAGGAGAAGATTTGTCAAAGTTGTAGGACCAGAAATGGGCATGATGGCTCTGCGGTCTCCAAAGAAAAGGTGATTTAGGAGAAGATGTGGCAGAGAGTCAGATGTTACTCAGAGAACAGCTCTCTTGCGACCTCCTCTACCTACTCAACAAATCGTAAGAGCATGCAGCCTTTTCATTTCACTTACCTACTCCTGGAAAATGCCTTGCATTGAATAGGCCTCCAGTAGGCATTTGTTCAATTGAATTAGAGCTAAAGCTTAATGTGCAAACATCCTTGGGAGAGGTAACACAGTGACTTGATTCACACAAATGTAACTAGCTCCTCTTATAAAAGTTGATTTTAGGTCGAACAGCAGATTTTGCTTTAAAATAGGAAGGATGCACCATGCTAGTGGGGGAAAGCTACTAAGTGGAAGAGGGGTCTGCCCATGACATTGCTGGTGTCCAATTTCAACTGAAACTATACTCATTGCATTATTTCTCTCAATTATTTTGCTCCAATTCTCTCAAGAAGTACTCAGAAAGGTCTTGTTCTCTTTTAAGCAGTGGCTTCATTATCATAAGAGTAATTTAATTTGTCCTTATTTTTCACTCTGTGTGTATAAATAAGAGAGATTCTCCCTTCTGGCTGCTGTCCCCAGGAGATAATTCACCATCATTGGCAGGTACATGCATTGAATATAAAGTTAGCTCCCGGCAATGCCCATCCATTTGGGGAATCACCACCAACTGCAATGATCTCACTGGGCATGTTTTTCTGAAGACCTGGTGCTGCATACTTAAATGTGATTTTCACATTGCTCAGAAGTTATTCCAATGCTATGTCTTCTACACCAGGGGTGCAGAGGATTACCAGAGTCAGAGTGGGGAACAGAACAGAGGCAGATCCACTAACATACACTGCTGAGGGGAGCAGCAGGCAAGACAGGAGAGGTCTACAGTGCCATGTGGGTCATGGGATTGAACTTCAGTGGTTGGGGATAGCTTTATAGTGCTGTTCTTTAATCCCTTGCACCACCAGGGAGGCCCTCAACAGGCGATTTTTATCTTATTTTTTTATTTTAATGCTTCACTTTGATCTATCTTTTGTTGGATAGATTAAAGCTCTTTAGAAATGAAGATATTAATAAAATAAGCTTTATATGACACATACAACAATATATATAACCTAATACATATAACCCGTGATATTTATTATGCTTTAACATCTATTAATTTAAGGCATTATGTTATTATACACACTTTTAACCTATCTCTTTAAAAATAACCCTTCGTTTCATAATTCAGAAGTTTCCTGGAATTCATGTTTATCTCTTTGGACATATTTAGCATAATCAATGAAAATTATCCAATAAATTCAGGAAAAAAAGTGAAATCTGAAAGACCAAGTTAAACTTTCTCCCATATTTATATGCCTTTATTCATTTATTCATTCATTCATTTCTATTTTCTTCCACAGTTGTTCGTTTTTGGTCAGTGTTTGATTTCTACGCCCTCAGGCGTCATTCTGGTAGTTCTCCCAACACCACAGAACCTGTGCTCCATCACCACAGTCCCTGCGCTCTTCCCTCCCATTGGCCCCTTTCCTTCTTCCCCTTCTGCGGTGGGCCTCAGATCTCTGGTCCACTTGCATTTTTGTCTTTTTTCTGACTCTTTGTTCGGTTTCCCTATATTCCACATACAAGTGAAACAATTCGACATTTATCTTTTCCTTCTGACTTACTTTGCTTAGCGAGAAGCTCCCTCAGGTTGCCACAAATGAGGGCCTATATTGTAATCCTTAAAGTCCCTGCAGGACAAAAGTGAAGGACATTTAGGAGCTATTTATTAAGGTTTACATGTCAGGGAAGTGTGAAAGGACTAGCATTAAGTGGTGTGTTCTCCACTCTAGATTCACCTCAGTTTTAGAACAACATCCCTCCAGTTTTAGCAAGTATAGAATGCTAGAGAATTTGAGCTATTGTCTATCTTTCAGACATTCTCTAGTCAAAATACTATGACTATTCATTTGGGAGGTATTAGTTATGAAGTAGTAAACTAATTTGTTACTTGTCACTAGAGGGGGCTTTAGAAAAGTTTTAAGTTACATTTCTGTGAAGAAGGCAGAAAAATCCGGGCAATATTAATCCACAGATCTTCTCAAGGAGTAGAAAGGACAACTGAAAAACATTTTAGAAAATAACTTCAAGTAGAGCTTCCCCAGTTAGAATTATATAGAGGCATATATATTTGAGTACTAGGAAAATATGACTATATAATCTGAAGGTCCTTCATGGGTAATAAGACTTTTATCACTGTCAATAACTTGAGTTTTCTTAATTTTATTGTAAAAGCAAGAGAGAACTGAAATGACCACACTTTTTTTTTCATAATATAATAGTTTATTTTTCCATCATTTTGTACATTTTTTTTTCCATCTCAATTGTAATCCCTGTGGGTTTCCCATCACCGAGTCACCCAGACCACACACATTTTTTTAAAAAAGATTTATTTATTTGTGCATACAGAACTGGGGTACAGGCCAGAGGCTCAGGGGCGATGAGAGGTTTCACCAGAGACAGAGTGGGGAACAGAACGGGCAGAGCGACGAAATACACTGCTGAGGGGAGCAGCGGGCGGGTCAGGAGAGGTCTGCCACGCCATGTGGTCACCTCCCCGGCAGGCGGGGATCAAACTCATGCAGCAGTGGCTTTAGATTCTCAGTGCTGTGGTTTAACCTGCTGCGCCACCAGGGAGGGCCCGACCACACTTTTTTTAAAGGCGGTATTTGCTTGACAGAAAAGGCACAACGGGAACCACCATAGGATATACTGACCCCAAATGGTCGTTTTATTTTCTCTTAAGGACTAGAACTCTGACATCTGAACGCGAGTATAATTAGTCCATAGAAATGATTATTCTCAGGACTGTGATGCCACAGGGAGTTTTAGAGTATTTTTGATATGCTTCTTTCCACACTTTATTTTCATTTTTCCTATAGTCGAGAAAAGCACTAAATGATGACTCTGTAGGTGCGTGGCTGGCTTCGTGTCACTAATAAAAGATTTGCTCATCGGTTGTGGTCCTTCAACCCAGGTGGCTAGAATTGCGGATCTCAGCCCGCTGATAACTGTCATCATCCTCATTGCTCCACTTTCTCCCAGCTGTGTTCTTTAA